AATTACATGCAATCCAACTAATTAAATGACAACATGCCATCGATTAACCAGCTGGATGGATGGATCGAGACCTTGATGCAGTGCAAGCAACTAAACGAGATGGATGTGCAGAGGCTCTGTGAGAAGGTATGTCCCAGCCACCACTTGGAGGTGCCACTATGAGCTAGCTGGTGGAAGCGCCCTACCAAACGGTTCCTGACTTATTGCAGGCGAGAGAGATACTCCAAGACGAGTCAAATGTGCAGCCTGTGGTACGTTATCCCCGACATAACCCTTCCCCGCCTTCCCCTTCTCTCCGTGTCTGATCGGTGAGCTAAACATTCTGCCGCAGAGGTGCCCGGTCACAGTTTGTGGGGATATTCATGGCCAATTCCACGATTTGATGGAGTTATTCAGGATCGGTGGTCCTAATCCTGATACCAATTATCTGTTCATGGGTTCGTGGGGTCCCGCCCGTCGAGAGGGGCGTGGTGCGTTCATTCCGACAAGTTCTGATATGCGTTCTTGCAGGTGATTATGTCGATCGTGGATACTATTCGGTTGAGACGGTCACGTTGCTTGTTGCGTTGAAGATCAGGTATCCCCAGAGAATTACAATCTTGCGGGGCAATCATGAGTCCAGACAAATTACACAGGTCTATGGATTCTATGACGAGTGCTTGCGCAAGTATGGGAATGCAAATGTTTGGAAGTAAGATACCGCGAGGCCCGCGGTGGATGGCACCTAGCCCGCCCACCTATCTGCCCGTTCCATCCACGATTTATGCTGACAGGGGTGACGTGTAGGCTTTTCACAGACTTGTTCGATTTTCTTCCTCTTACTGCTTTAATCGACAACCAAATCTTCTGTCTACACGGCGGTCTGTCCCCAAGTATCGACACCCTTGATAACATTCGGGCATTGGATCGCATCCAGGAGGTGCCACATGAAGGTCCGATGTGTGACCTGCTGTGGTCTGACCCTGATGACCGCTGTGGATGGGGGATATCTCCTCGTGGAGCTGGTTATACATTTGGTCAGGACATATCTGAAGCCTTTAATCATAATAATGGCCTCACACTGGTTGCGAGGGCGCATCAGTTGGTCATGGAGGGTTATAATTGGTCGCAAGACCGCAACGTAGTTACTATATTCTCAGGTGAGACATGCACCTTATCGATTGGGAGATTTATCGCTAACTGGCTCGGCAGCCCCCAATTACTGCTATAGATGCGGTAACCAGGCGGCAATTATGGAGATTGACGAGCATCTGAAATATACTTTGTAAGTACTCCGCATCCTTGGTCTTCAGCCACAGTAAGCTAACTTGAGCATAGCTTGCAGTTCGATCCTTGCCCGAGGGCTGGAGAACCAATGGTTTCCAGGCGTATGCTCCCCCCTCCCCAAACACCAAAAAACGTGTTCACAGTGAACTCTCTAACACTATATCATAGGAACTCCGGACTACTTCCTTTAAACGCAGGAACAAACTCAGTGTGGGGACCCGACGTAGTGGAATTCTTAAAAATTAAACCCATTTCGAAAATCCCGTACATACATCTTTCTTTCTCTCTTAGTACTTATACATCGGCAGACTTTGGCTTGGGTTGGGGAAAACGCTTTTGTATCAGACTAGAGAAACGACCGCGGTTCGCACTCAGACACTATTACACAATATTGCTTTTTGTTTTTTTTTCTCTCCCTTTTTTTCCTCTCCAAAAGAAAAGAGAAACTTTAATTTTAAATCGCATTGGTGTTTCGTACGTACCCTTGAGGGAGATTTGGGTGAAGTTTCCCTTTGTTTTCCGTGTGTTTTTCCTATACGTTTGGCTTTGAAATATAGTCTTCGTCTCTTGCTGTCTGTGGAGTCGTGCGCCGATGGGATGTGGTTCTTTTCTCTTCTTCCTTGAGCTTAACGGATACCTTTTTCTTTCGAGCGAGAAAGATGGGTGATTTGGTACGGTACGGTAGACGTTAGTTTGTTCAGTGTTTTATATGTGATGGTAAAACTGTGCTATCAAGCATGGTAGATAGATATACAGTTCACGGCAACCTTGTCTGTTTGTCTGCCTATCTGCGGAATTAATGACAAGTCTGAAGTAAAGTAGCAGGCCGTTAGTACTGTTAGAGGAAATGATGAGAGATGTGAAGATTTGGGTTCTGTGGCGATTGTTGTTTCATGTGATTCTGGATACAGGATGATACTATATAATATCATGATACTTGTACTGTACGATATAGCTGCGGATCATCAACATGCTCAAAAACGACAATCGGAATTATGATAACTTGTGTTGCAATGGCATACATTATCTTCAATTCCGACTCCAACCACGAGGACTCCCCGCATGACCTTCGATGAAAACAGGAATCACAGACTGCGATTTCAATAACTTTACCTTTATAGGGGGTCCTATCGCGAGCTCTCCGGTGGACGTCTTTCCGCATTTGGGGTTCAAGTTGGTCGCGGGGGGGGGGGGGGGGTATCATAGGTTTCTATCGTCTGGAACTATACTATTTAGATAGATCTTGATATAAAGGGAGGTAAGGATAAGAATGTTTGTGCTGTACTATACCAATGAATATGATAATTCTTTTGCCCTTTGGTTTACATCCGAACAAAAATAAAAATAAAAATATGGGAATCAAATAATAATGAATTGGTTTCTACAAAAAAGGCGTGTTTCGTCGCTCCAAATTTACCAACTGCTTCCCCCATCCCAATCCCCTTCGATTTGCAAGTAATGCGCGAGAGGTCCTTGATTTTATTTATTCCGTTTTGTTGACAATTGTTAGATAAAGTAATCTAACCGCCCCCTCCCCCCGAACTGTCTATCCGATAACGAGTTTTCCTTCCTCGGGGAAGCTACACGCCCCATTAGTCCCACCATCACCATAACCATCAATTGCTAAAATAGCAGGGGGGTGATATACTCATATTCCGGAATCTCCAAATTAAGCGGAGCAGGGCCCCTTCTCACCCGGCCCGAGATATCGTAGTGGGATCCGTGGCAGGGGCAGAACCACCCGCCGTAGTCCCCGGCCTCGCCGATGGGCACGCAGCCCAAGTGCGTGCATATCCCCAGCATGATTAGCCACTCGGGCTGCTTGACGCGCTCAGCGTCGGTTTGGGGATCGCGCAGGGACGCCACCTTGACGGCGTTGGCCTCTTCGATTTCGTCGGGGGTGCGGTGGCGGATAAAGACGGGTTTGCCGCGCCACTTGATGATGACATTCTTGCCCTCTGGGATAGCGGAAAGGTCCACCTCTACCTTTGCCATGGCTAGGACATCGGCTGACGCGGACAAGTTTACCAGAAAATCTGTCTCCGAAAATCAATTAGCACGGTTACTGGCGGCGGGTGAAGGTGGGAGGGGAGGGACCTTGAATAGTAGCCTTCGCGCCAGCGGCAGACAAAAGCCCCATCGTGCCGACCATGAAGTAGCCAAAGACTTTATTCCCAGAGGTGCTCCCACCACGGTACTTGCTGAAGTCCGGGATATTGGTGGTGGCGCGGGACTCGGGACTGGCGAAGGGCGACTTGTACTCGCTGCTGTCATCGAAGTGTGATGTGGACCCTCCGTTGTAGCAGCGGACCACGGTCAGCGGGGCAATTGTGTGAGGGCGGAGGGCTCGCACGGCGACTGTGCGGAGACAGTTCATTTGTTTACTTCCTTGCTTGCTCTTGCTCAAATTGGGGTGGGGGTAGGATGGGGTGAGGGAGGTTTGGCTTCTCTAGCCGCGAATCGGGTGTGAGGTGAGGTAAAGAGAATGAATCCTGGTGGGGGTCGAGGTGGGATGCTGGAATGGAGAAAGTCGAGTTGGAGAAATGATTGTTTCGGTTACCCGGAGAGGTATCATACCGGTAATTGGCGATTTTTCTAGCTCGGGCTTATCTAATCGATCTTATCATGCGCGAATAAGATGGAAAATGATCTGTTGCCGTTGCCGGCGATCATTTCTGCTGGTTGGCTGTCTACGGCATGATACAGCTGCACGTGAGCGACTTTTGGTTGATCCCTGATCCTTATAAATCTCACCACGCGCTTTGGGCGAAAGGGGAAATTTGTCAACTGTCGTCTCCAAAGTGAAAAGGAGTAATCTTGAGAATTGGTAATCGATCTTTCGGTTGTCTGTGAGACAAGGTAACTATGGGATTAACTACCAAGCCAGGAAGAAAGTATCTCGTGATAACCCATTGCGGCAACCCAAGCAAAGCTTATCACCACTCCTCACTATAGAAATCCCATCAACCAAAAGGAAAGGAAAACCAACCACCAAGAGCCACTCGCCGAAAAAGAAAAAAAATTACAACCGAGTTAGCAAAAACAAAAGCAAGAGTATGTTCCCGCATGAGAAACCAAAAAACGCAGCCTACTCCACCCCAATTCCGTGTATCCTCATCACATGAAACCGCCCAATCACCATCTTTTGCCTATCAGTGGACGTGAAGAGATCCCGTGGAATATGCCCCTACCAAGCCCTGATTCATTCCGCTAGTTGTGAGAGGGACCTAACTCATCTCTATCTCGTTGCCCTTGTCTCCGTTAACCCCCCTCTCCCTACCACTGGCAACGGCAATAGTATCACTCTCTGCAGAGCTCTTTTTACGACCGTTTGACGACCCTATCGGCAATATCCTCTGCCCATTCAGCGTCAACTGGCCAGTCTCAGTGTCCTTAGCAGTCTTGTTGTTCTTCCGTTCCCGAACCTGCTTGTACGGCACCGTAGGCGGGATAACGTCTGCGAGAAATTCGAGGTTTTCTACTCTAGCTACAGCAGTAGCTATACCCCCTGTTAGAGGATCGTAATAGAAATCGTACAAGGACGTAATTTACCCAGGTCTTTATACTGCATTGTCTTCCGTTGCTTTCGGTCACCATAGGTCATTTTTAGCCCCTGCTCTGCGAGATACTGGACAAACATTTCCTTTGTCGAACGTCAACCTCCCTGTGTTTAAAGGCGGAAATGGAGGATGGGGGGGGGGATATTCACAGCAGCAATAGTAACAAGGAAAGCAGCATTGTTGGAGCAACCGTTGACATCGTCGTCAAGCCTTATTATTTTCTTAACTCGGGAGACTACGATATGTTAGTGAGTCACAGCCGAGAAAGAACAGAGATTTGCGAATAGCCCACGGGGAAGAGCAGAATGGCCAGTGACTTCCTCGGAAGGAGGTATTGCGGACGTGTTGTATGGCATTATTAATGGTAATTGGGACCAGAGGCTGGGAGGATCCGTATTATTGTTTGGAGGGTTGGAGGCTGGGGTAGAATCGTGGGTTGGGTTGGAGGATTACGGTTGGTGGTGGTGTTGTTAGTGGGTGGACTCACCGCCTCGTGAGGGTTGAAGGAGCGAGCTCCTGCTGGCTCGAGGTGCTAAGGATGGAAGTTGGTGGTGCAGCTCAGGGCTAGGGATTACATGCCAAGACCTGTATCCCAATGGCAATAGTACTGCGTTCTGACATTCGTGCCCAGGCATTTAGGTGCTGTTTGGCTCGCCACGAGTTCAGACGACTGTAATCTCAAATCACGATTTGCAGATCGCGATTTGGAACTGACCAATAGCACATCCCAAAACATGTTTACATAGTCCCTCTTTGTGTGTTGCGATTGGTCGGTTCTAGATCGTAAGCTGAGATTACCGTCGTCTCAAATCACTGCGAGCCAACAGTCTCATAAGTCTTTCCTAAGAAAATTGCGGACTAAAGGTGGCCTCTCTGCTGCCATTCATTCGGCACGCATTAACAAAAGACTTTTTGGTATTATAAAGATCAAAAAAAAAAAGAGAGAGAGAGAGAGAAACTGCTACGGCAGTTTTAATGACAATCCAAACAATTCGGGACCTCATCGCATCGTTCGCTCCATGAGTAGAAATTGCAAACAATACAGCAACTCCTATAGGGTATCGCACCTGACCTAGGAAAAAAAATATGAAATCAACGCCCGTCACCAGCGATACTCCTCGCACTTCGCCAATATCCACTTGCTCCAATAAGTAGCTCTGATAAGCGAGCTCTGATAAGCGTAACAGGAAGACATGTACAATAGAATTCCTTCTCATAGACAAAGATTTCATGAGAGGCCAACACAAACTATCGAGCGAAGTACAGATAGAGGTGAAAGACAAAAAACATACCAGCAACCCTCATGACCGACAGAGATTGAACCAGAAACCGAGGACGCCTTTACCCAGAAGTGACCGCCTTTTATTTTATGGAGACCCTCCTTTCGGATATATTTGAGGGAAGCAATTACCGGACAACAACATTTTGTAAGAGATCAGACCTTCCATCCCACACCAGAAATTTATACTTATTTGCGGCCATAGAGCGCCCGACACACCTACCCAAGCAATTCAACATCCAGCCCGATAGCTCTCATAAAGAGATTCACGTTTGCACTTTTCTGTGCACCAAGTTCGGGCGGTAAGGTTTTACTTGCCCTCACATTCTCCATAACTCGGTCCCTATGAGCAGGATACGTTAGAAACAAACACGTATTTAAAGATGGAATGAAGAGACTCACTTTACTGCACTCACTAGTGCTTGCTGTTGAGGCATGTTGGCTCCAACTGCAATGCTTGCTAAAAATTGCCAGACGTAGACATCATCGACAAACATTCCAGGGGGGAAACATTCCATCCAATGGCCTTGAAGAGAATCAAAGAGCCTGTCATACATCATCTGCCATTGCTGAAGTTCGCTTTCCGGTGCCCCTCCAGCTTGCTTGACAATTTCCGCTCTGGAAGAAAACATGGTCAGAAATGCAAGACCAATTTTGGTCTTGCTCACAGCCACGACATCTACACGTTCCAAGAGTATTCCTAAGAGCCCGATAACAATTGAAAGAGGTGCTTCATAAACATAGCCTAGCAAGGGTGGAAGAACGCTCGCTGCGAACATTTCAATCTCCTCACGGACCGCTGAGGGAAGTTGGGTTTCATCTGGAAGGTATACACCGTGTTTCACAACATCGAGGATATCCAGATGCACGACAATCATAGTGAGAATAGTCACGCGCTGCTCTGGATCTAGGTGTCGAAATATACGTTGTATGGCCCGCTTCATTTTCGAATAGGAAAGAATCGCGATAAAAGGATGAGTAGCAGTCGATCTAAAGGGCTGCATTAGCTTCCTATATCCCTAATGGCATATATTGGATTTCTCACGTTGGGTCAATTGGTTCCATAATTTTTGTTTCTTTCCACAATTTTGCTACAAGCTGATCTCTCTTTGCCGCCCATTCGATATGAGCTTGCTGGGGCTGCTGATCTGGCATCAGGATTGGCAGCTTTGACCTCTCACGTTCATGAACCTCTAGCTCTAGCAGTGCATCATAAACATTCTCAATGGCTCTGAGCAAAGATTTTCTGTCAGCGCTTGAAAATGTTGAACGTTGAGTCTAAGATAAATATATCAGCATGCGTGATGATCATCCCCTAAAAAATATGAAACTCACTCTTCTTATAGGCTCTCCACCAGGGGAGTCAGACTTCTTGATGTTGAGCATAGGCCGCGGCGTCTTAACATTACTAAAAGAGATTTTGCCCAGACTACCTTCTAGTACTAATTGACTAGCTTTTGGACGAGCTTTTGCAGCAGCGACAGCCCGCTGAACTTGTTGCTCCATACGCTGTAGGTGGTTGTCCTGTTGCCTATTCCTTCCTCTTGCACTCTGACGGAAAAGATAGGTTTGTGCAAATTGATTAAGGGGTTGTTGAGGGTTTGTTCGTGCCCGAATTGCCGAATGAACAATGTAGTAGAAGTCCTCATTGGCATTATCCTCAGCATTATTTATAGATACCAGATGTTGGAGCTGTATGCGAGTGATAAAGTTTTTATCTGCGGGGGTCATTAAACCGTTATACCGTGCCTTTGTTCAATAATTACGTAAGATTCATGCTCACTCATGGAGATACTCTATTATCTACTCACCAACTGGGCGATCTTGTGATTTCTCTTCAAACGCTTACTCTCTTCCTCCAAAAATCGAGCTTTCTCCACCTCAGTCATTTTTTGTAACTGCGGTGTTGGGACATGATTTGTCATCCCATACTGATTCCGTGAGGGATGTAATGGTTGCCCCATTGTCTGTATTCTCTGCGGTTGTAGCGGCACACCCCCAGGATGTTGCTCGGGAACTTGGTGAAGCTGAGCTTGAGGGGGTGTCTGATTTCTCTGAAGCATGCTTTGTATACGTGCGGGAAATTGTTGAGACTGGAGAGGATGCAAATCATGTTGCGGGGGTGGATATTGATGTAACGGAGAAGCTATCATCGGGGAGATATGATGAGGTTGAGTGGGTAATGGATGAGTCCGGGCCGGCGGTTGCTGGAACGGGGATCGATGTCTTTGCTCATTATTGGCCAAAATCTGGGCCTCAACCTCTTCTAGGCTTAATATCTTCCTTCCAACCGGTGGTGCCACTGGCGTAGGATCTGGCTGGGGCTCTGACTGGTGCTCTGGTTGAGGTGTGGTAGAAGGCGCAGATCCCCATAAGGACATATCAGGGCGAAGAACAGGCACATGAGTTGGAGGCTCGGCTCGTGTGAGTGGTGTTGGAACAGCTGCTACTCTTGCGACAGACTGATTCCTCGCTGACCTGTTAAAGACCTCATGTTCCTCCTCCATAGCGTCTGCCACACGAGCGGTTGCACCGTGAAAGTCAAAGTCCTTCCCTAGATGTCGAATATTATCCTTAGCCGATACTCGTGGGAGCGATCTCTGAGAAGAAATTAATACCTATTGCTCCCTCTGGAGCACCAAAAGTCTCATCATTGAGGGCATCATCTTTTTCGTCCAACTTATCACCAAGACCGTCATAGGTATCTTCGAAATCAATTCTTTACTCAGAGAGTTAGTCATTCTAAAGCTCGAACATGTAATAAACAGAAACCCACCCATCGTCGTCATCATCATCATCAACATTGGACAATGGAGCGAAATGATCGATTGCCTGGGAGAAGCCAGGAGCCATTGCTGGATGACCGCGATCTCTCGGCAGAGACGTGTCGAACCCGAAGAACGACATGGTAGGAAAATGTATTCCTTCTTAAGATTGAAACAGAAGTAGGTGGGCAGTGATGAATCCTAAACAGGGGTAGATTCGACCCCCAAGAAATTTTGTAAGGTGTGAACAGATGAAGAAAAAAGAAAAAAAGAAGTGAACAGGTATATTGAGAAAGATTTGAACCAAATTCCGGGCTCCGGGGGGTGGGGAGGCGGGGTTGATAGTGGATGTTGGAGTGATAGCTTCAACGGGCAAGGAGGGAAAGATGTGTGTGGGCTTACGGGCTTGGCACGGCAAGGCTTCGCAGAAGGGGAGCCTGAAAGCCGATGAACGCGCATGTTGGGACCGCGCTTTGGAAAAACCTAGCGCCCAATGCCATCTGACCGGGCTATTCGCATTAATTTTCATGCAATAAACGACGCGAACATCAAGACTTCAATCGCTCGAGCAAACAACTACCGTGGCGAATGAAGTGCAAAGCAGAGATGCTTCAGCTTTGATAATACAGACTAACGTGCTTCGTGGGGCAACTTATCACGACGGTGAGACAGTCCACCGCTTAAATACAAAAGCCCAACAGAAGCTTCGACTTGTTGATACAGTACATCCACCAAAGGGTACGATAGTTCTAAGCACAAAAAAAAAACTTATAATCCATAATCATAATATCTGTTGTACCGTATCAACAGCAGTTCACCCGGCCAAGCAGCTCACCTGTCGGTTGGGACATCCTAGTGGCAAGGTAAATCTCAACCTATTTCACTGAACAAGTGCTCAAGCTACACAATTGCAGTTGCGTTTTTCTTGGTAATTATGTCAAAATTAGAGAAAACAAAACTACAATGCGGCTATTCCAGCTGCCTCCTTTACGATTGGGACTCAGATACTACTAGCACACTAAATTCTTAAGTTCCTGACAAGATTGTCTCTTTTAAATTTATAGTTAATTTATTTCAATAAGTGCTACAAGGCTCACTGGGACCCCGGGTCTGCCTGGGGAAATCTTGTAGCACATTCTCTGAGATACTAAACCTTTATCCCTTTTTGTAGCCTCAATACTGATATCCTCTTTCATGCGTCACAGGAGGCACATGTAACTAGGACTCGAAGCCGGTAAATACAACGGTAATATTCAAATACAAGATTCTACTGTACTCGTACTGTACTTCTGTACTTGGCTACTGGGACAGCTTGAGTTTTTTTCTTATGCACTAGAATATTCCAGTAGCAAAATACTAGCCTACTCAAGAACTGCATGAGAGACGTAACTGGTTGATTAAATGGACCCAGAGTCTCATTTGCCAAGTACTAGTAGACCTTTTTGTGATTCAGAGAGAACAGACTAGTATATTTTGAACAGCCAATTGTAGCAAGAACCAGTTGCCAGAGATAATTCAGTTAACTAAATCATATTTAGATGTTCTTCTATCCTCCTCTCTAGATAATTCTTGAATTATCATATAAGTATAGTTTTGTTAGAACCTACATATAGGTTTTTCTGATTATGATTTGTAATAGGAGCACCCTATGGGAAGATAGATACTAGGACTATGACCACACTAGAGTGTTCTTTCTTGTTAGATGGAAGCAAACTCTAATATACGTTGAGAAGACTTAGGCTGGAATCTTTGGTGTTTAGATGAAGATTGTCTAGGAAGGCTCAGTAATATTCTTTTCATTTAGGACTATGTCACAAACCGGATTGTGATAAAGGAGATTGGCAAGAAGGAATAGGACTTTCACATGACTCCCACTTGCAAGTCATAGGTTGTCATAAAGGTGGCTTGGCACAGAAAGATTTTGACATGACTTATAATTAAGAGTTATAGGTATGTTATTGCTTCACGCATATGACTTATTTAGATCATCTGACTTGTTATGTTATAATTTGTTATGTTCTGCACATGACTTGATTATGAGTTATGGGATATATGCCTGGAGAGTATACCTTACAAGTATGCCTTGCGGATATGTCTTGCGGGTATGCCTTGCGGGTATGCCTTGCGGGTATGCCTTGCGGGTATGCCTTACGGGTATGCCTTACGGGTATGCCTTACGGGTATGCCTTACGGGTATGCCTTGCGGGTATGCCTTGCGGGTATGCCTTGCGGGTATGCCTTGCGGGTATGCCTTGCGGGTATGCCTTGCGGGTATGCCTTGCGGGTATGCCTTGCGGGTATACCTTGCGGGTATGCCTTGCGGGTATGCCTTGCGGGTATGCCTTGCGGGTATGCCTTGCGGGTATGCCTTGCGGGTATGCCTTGCGGGTATGCCTTGCTGGTATGCCTTGTGGGTATGCCTTGCGGGTATGCCTTGCGGGTATGCCTTGCGGATATACCTTGCACATATGATTTATGTTTTACACAGGACCTCATTACGAGGTCATGGGTTTGGCGCATGTAACTATTTGAGGTCATATGACTTGTGTATTATGTTATGATTGGTTTATGAGTTTTCACACATGACCTTGCTAGAAGGTCATGGGTTTTGAGCATATGACTACTTTGATCATATAAGTAGTTTGTTATGATTTGGTTTTGTACATATGACCACTTTAGGTCAGTTGACTTAGGGTGGAAAGAACACTATATAAGGAGGCCGGTAAGGCCCAGGAGAATAGGTTCTTCATGCTTTGTTCTAAGTACTTTTCCTATTTATTACTCTAACAAATATAAATCACCTTTACACTTATTATCATTATCACGATCTTTATTATTATTATGCCGAAAAAGCTCTTCATGGCAAAGAGTTAGAGAAAGATTACGATAGGTATTCCCGGTAGAAGATAAAGGTCTTGTACTATCGGTAAAGTAGGCAGAGGCCTAGTACTATTATAAGTTGAGAAGAAAAAAGAAGAACAGAAATATAGTTCCCTGTTGCCAAGAACTAACTACTCAAAGGGGGATCATTATATTATAAAGAGTCACCTAGAATGATGCCAAATGATACAAGAGGGCTTCCTTCAACCCAGATAAGAAAGAAGATATTGACGTTAACAACTAAAGCCTAAATTTGAGGAATTTAGTGACATCCTAGAACAGGTTTCAGTAGAGCCCTCGAGGGCAGCAAGTTCAGTAACATCAGAAAACAGATCACCAGTTGATAGCTCACCTGCAGGAACCCTACTACTAAGAAGAATGTCTGTATCAGCAGTACTGGCGATATCAGCCCCAGCAGCTCTGGTACCAGGAACCCATGTTTTAGGTATGACAGAAAGCCAGTTTCAGCCATTCATGACGGTAACATGAAATGTGATGACAGGACAGCTAAATATCCAAAGGCCAAAAGGGAAGGAACCAGACATATATGAAGGAGCCAAAGACAAACTACAAATATTTGTAGCATTATGTGAGAATATTTCACGGTCAAAGGATATGGAGAACAATATGACGATATCAAAATTCAGTGTGTGGAATCACTCTGAAAGGGACTTGCTGGACAATAAATTATGTCCTTCCAAGATGGACTGAAGCAGAAGGACTGGGTCACCTATGACGAATTCAAGGCAATGCTTTTTGAACAATTTGGTGATCTCAATGCCAGAGAAACAGCAAAACGAAAGTTGGAAAAACTCCAACAAGGAAAGTAAATATTTTCAGCCTACTGGAATGGATATTGACTACTAGAATACAGGACAGAATTCAACGATGCTACACTCTATATTATCCTATTAAGGAACTATAGTGAATGACTACGAGTAGCATGGGGTAATTCTGACTTAGCCTTCACGATATCAGAAAGGTTCGCAAGATGGGCCATCGATAAGAAAAGCAGACTAGTGATAGTTTGAAACAACTTAGAGAATACCATAGTAAACAGAATGGTCCAATCATTCAGGAACATAAATGAGACATCTAGACCACAAGTAACTCAAAGTGAGAGCAGTGTATTGTTACCTGATATGTCAATGGAATTGAACAAAGCAAGGGCAGGACCAGTCTTAAACCAATCCATGAAAGAATATACTAGAAGGATGAATAGAAAACTCTACTGCAGATACAGAAAAGCAAGACATAGAATACAGGAGTATTGGAGTTGACCTGACAATGAATACTAAGGGATCAAAATAGCTAGAAACAATTGCTTCCAATTTGATGAAAGAGTAACATTGGCAAGATGATTGCCGAGGATTTATCGGTGGAAAACGACGAGGGTCTCAAGTAAATGGTAGTCTGGGAGACCCAAGATGCGGACCTGGAAAGCTCATTGAGTTAGTGAACTACTATATGGCACTACTCATGTAATGTATTTGTAAGGTGCTAATCATATTATCGGTAAATAATCTGATAGTTGGCAGGTGGCCTACTCTACCAGGGAGAAGGTGAGAGCTGGAAACTAAAGGAGACTTCAAAGGTGTAGTGAGAAACAAGAGGTAACTATTCAACCAAGTATATTGAAATACTGTCTGTTGAAGTCTGCCTTTTCCATCGTGGAAGCAGGTGGTCTTTAAATACACAAATCTTGTTCATATATAGTATGAACGAAACTAATCAAAAATATCAAGTGATACACTTGAGTGAAAAAAATCAAGTATCAAAACAATACTTAAAATAAAACAAAACAAAACCAAGTATCAAATAATACTTAAAATAAACTAAGTATCAAAGCGAGACTTAAAATAAAAGATGAAACAAAACCAAGTATCAAACTATACTTAAAACAAACCAAGTATCAAAGCGATATATAAAACAAAACATAAAACAAAACCAAGTATCAAATGATACTTAAAACAAAACCAATAACTGAGTACCTGTACTGGTTACATTTTCTAAAACAAAACAACTGTTTAAACAAAACCTACTAATCATCAAAAGTGGAGTCAGAGAAACTGAAGGCTTCAGTTTCTGCTATAAGTTCTTTATCATAAGTATTACACCAGGGACAAGAAGAAATCTGAAGAAAATAACGAGACTCAAAGAAATGCAGATTGCAGGAGTCACAAATACCAGATTCATGCTGTATGTCTAGCTAAGCGTTATTGCAATCAGGGCGGTAGTCTACCCAGAGGATAGTGAAGTAGTCTTTGGGTTGGATAACATTGCGGTTCAACAACAGTCTAACAAGCTGTTGTCATAGCCTTACATTGAGTTCTATATAGTTTGATATCTTTATAGTATTCAGAGAGTGAATGGTGACTAGACAAGGTTGTTAAGGGCTTGTTCCATAGTCTGGTTTTCTTCATCACTGCTTTGAATTCTGACTTAAAGTATGGCACCCA